TTTTGCAGTTTTTGGCCAGGGCTGGGTTTGAACCCACCACCTCCAGCATATGGGGCCGGCGCCTTACTCCTTTGAGCTACAGGTACTGCCTCAGCCGTCATTGTTGTTTGGCAGGCCCGAGTTGGATTTAAACCTGCCAGCCCAGGTGTATGTGGCTGGTGCCTTAGCCACTTGAGCCACAGGCTCCAAGCCACAAGTGATATTTTAAATTAAGAAAATAAATGAGATTGTTTAAGGGAAACTTGTCAGAAGATGACCCAGACCCCAACCTGAGGAACTCAACACTTAAGAGTCTGGTAAACAATTCTCTTGCTTCAGTCTCCCAAGTAGCTGGGACTGCAGGCTGCCAGCCACAGGGCCCAGCTATTTTTAGAGACAGGCTCTTGCTCTGACTCAGGCTGGCCTTGAACCTGTGAACTCAGATAATCCACCTGCCTTGGCCTCCCAGAGGACTGGAATTACAGGCGTAAGCCACCATGTCAGGCCCTAAGATGACATTTCTGTTGGCCCCTGGACTTGGTAGAAAAAGGTCACTATTGATCAAGACAACAGACAATTAAGTGGAGCAGAAGCCAGACTGCACTGGTCTGAGGAGTGAAAGTAAAGTGCAGAGATGGAGGGGACAGCTCCTTGACAGAGGTCTAGGGCCAGTCTCGAGGCTCATGCCTGTAATCCTAGCACTCTGGGAGGCTGAGGCGGGTGGATTGATTAAGCTTAGGAGTTCAAGACCAGCCTAAAAAAGAGTGAGACTCCATCTCTAAAAAATAGCCAGGTTTGTGCCACGTGTCTGTAGTCCGAGGTACTTGGGAAGCTGAGGCAAAAGGACTGCTTGAGCTCAAGAGTTTGCTGTGAGCTAGGATGCCATAGCACTCTACTGAAGATGATAAAATGACACTGTCACAGAAAAGAAAGCAGATCTAGGCAGGGTTGTCAAATATGGAAGGCTAAATGCTTACAGCGTGAGATGAGAAGTAGCTTGAAATGGGTATGAACACCCAATATAGATCTCTCTTACATCATCTCTCAAACACAGAGACACGCACACAGTGACTGAAACAAAAAATGATAATGCTGGCTCGGAGCCTGTGGCTCAAGCGGCTAAGGCGCCAGCCACATACACCTGAGCTGGTGGTTCAAATCCAGCCTGAGCCCACCAAACAACAATGACGGCTGCAACCAAAAAATAGCCGGCGCTGTGGCGGGCGCCTATAGTCTCTGCTACTCGGGAGGCGGAGGCAGGAGAATCGCTTGAGCCCAAGAGTTAGAGGTTGCTGTGAGCTGTGATGCACAGCACTCTACCCAGGGAGACAGCTTGAGGCTCTGTCTCAAAGAAAAAAAAAAAAAAGATAATGCTGTCTCGTCTACTACACTCCATTACAGAAAAATACTAGTCACCACCCACTAAGTCGATCTGACGGATCACTAACGGGTGGCGACCTGCAATGGCAGCTCCAGGCTAACCTAACCAGAGATGATTTCGGAAGCAGGGATGGAACTGGAGAGGAAGAAGCGAGTTTGAGAATCAGTGCGACCACAATGCCAGATGGCTGCAGCTGAAGAGCAGCAGGGCCTCCCCGCAGCCCCCGCCCCGCGCCCCACCCCGGCCGCGCCACTCCCTGCCACCCTCACCTCCTCCAGATACTCGCCCAGCTGGGCCGCTACGTCCACCTCCCAATTTTTGGTGAGGTCGCGGATGGGCTGCAAGAGGTGGGCAAAGCGTGCCTCCACGTCCTCCATGTCCGGGAGGGGCCGAGTGGCGAGGACCGCAGGGCCCACTTCCAAGGAGTACAGTGTCCTCAGCCCGCCACTAGTTCTGGGGCCATTTTGCTGTTCCCGCCCAGGAAAGAACATAGCGCGGCGACGCGCGCATGGCTATGACATCACGCGGGCCAAAGCCTGGAGTAGCGAACCCGCGCGCTACTCCGCGGGGAACAGCCAGGCTGCCCTCTGGGGGCGGGGCCGGCAGACGAGGCTTGAGCTACTGCAGAGGCGCCTAGTCTACAGCGGCCTAGGGGCGGTACTTTGAGCTGCTGTGGGCGGGGATAGAGGAGCTTTGAGCTGCGGCGAACGGGTTGGGGGCGGGGTTTTGAGCTGCTGCAGGCGGGTTGGGGAGCTTTGGTCCGGGCGGGGACGGGGGCGGGGCCTGGAACTGCAGTGGGTCCCGCTCCAGCCGGCCGAGTAGTGGATATGGCGGGTTCTCGGCTCCCACGACAGCTCTTCCTCCAGGGCGTGGCCACCGTCTTCATGTTCGCCTTTTCTTCCCTCTACACGCAGATTCCGGGTGAGGGTACTCAGGGTGGGACAGCCCCCAGCCTGCGCGCGGGAAACTATGTTCTCTCTGCTTTCCACCCGGCACTCACGCCGTTGTGGGAGGGGGCTGCAGTCAGTGCCGTGCCGGGTGTGGGAGAGGAAGACGTGCACTGATCCGCTTATGTAGCTCCGGGCTCTGACCCAGGGCAGCGGGAAGTGAGAGGGCTAGACCTAGGAAGCTGGGCAGGCCTTGTGGGCTCTTGGACGGGGTGTCTTCAAGTTCCAACTTGGGGGAGTCCTTCTGGAAGGGCTGGGCGGGGTTTCCTGGTTGTAGAGGGGGAGGGTCCAGAGCCTGGCCCTAACACGCGCTCCCACAGGCCTCTATGGCCCAGAGGGCATCCTACCTGCGCGGAGGACGCTGCGGCCTCAGGGCAAGGGGCGCTGGCAGCAACTATGGGAGACACCGACGCTACTGTGGGAAGCCCCAAGGCTGGGGCTGGACACCGCTCAGGGCCTGGAGCTGCTGAGCCTGCTGGGCGTGCTGCTGGCACTGGGTGCCCTGCTGGCGCGCCCGCTGCGCCATCCACTCGTCTACCTGCTGCTCTGGGCTTTCTACCTCTCTGCCTGCCAGGCAAGTGGGGTGCCTGCTGCCCCCACAAACCACTGGGGCCGTTGTTCCCAGCGCACCGTGCCCTGCAGCTGCAGACACACTCCTGCATGCTGACAGCCCTTCTCCCTACAGGTGGGCCAGGTGTTCCTTTACTTCCAATGGTGAGTGACTGCTGGGTGTGAAGCCACAGGAGGTGGGTGGGGCAGGGTGAGTTTGCCTCTCTGGAAGGACTCTCTGAAGGGAGTGGCCTCAGTGGGGAGGGAACTCTGCACTATTTTCTCCCTGTAGGGATTCCCTGCTGCTGGAGACTGGCTTCCTGGCTGTGCTGGTGGCCCCACTGAGGCAGTCCCTCCAAGGGAAGCAGGTCCTACAGGGTGGGCCAGCAGAGGCCTCACCCCATGAAGCCCTCCCCTTCTGGCTCGTGCGCTGGCTGCTGTTCCGCCTCATGTTCGCCTCAGGCGTGGTCAAGCTGACCAGCCGCTGCCCCGCGTGGTGGGGGCTCACTGGTAAGGGTCTCAGCCTGGATCTGGGGTGGTCTGCAGGCTCTGCCCAGCCCTTACCACCTGCTTGTCACCTGCAGCCCTCACCTACCATTACGAGACACAGTGTCTGCCCACACCCGCTGCCTGGTTGGCCCACCACCTGCCTGTCTGGCTGCACAAGCTCAGCGTAGTAGCCACCTTCCTCATTGAGATTGCCATGCCCCCTCTCTTCTTTGCCCCCATTCGCGGTCTACGCTTGGCTGCCTTTTACTCACAGGTGGGTGGAGCCCTCAGCCATCAGATAGGGCGTGGCCTCCTTCATCACTGCCCAATGTGTCCCACTGGGGACAGGTGGCAGAAGGACTCACGACTAGGAGGGTGGGTGTATGCCTGCCAGGTTGGAGGGCCCAGGAGGGAGAACCTCAGAGCCTCTGAGTCGGTTTCCGCAGGTGCTGCTTCAAGTCCTCATTGTAATTACTGGCAACTACAACTTTTTCAACCTGCTGACACTGGTCCTCACTACTGCCCTTCTGGATGACCACCACTTGGCTGCCCAGCCTGCCCATGGCCACCACAAGAAGATGTCCATCTGTGAGTTTCAGATGCGGTCCCTGCCTTCCAGGTGTCTCCTTTCCTATAGCACCCCCCAGGTGACCCCTGCTCTAGCTCTACCTTAGCCATTTGGCTGTGGACCCTCCACTGAGTCATGACTACCCGGCTCTACAGCCTGGCCCAAGACCCTGCTGGCCTCGCTGTCCCTGCTGCTGGAACTGGCCGTCTTCGGTCTGCTGGCCTGTGGCACTGTGTACTGCTTTGGTCTGGAGATCGACTGGCAGCAACGTACCATCCACTCCAGAACCAGTGAGTACCAGCTGGGGGACCAGAGCTCAGGGGCTGGAGCACACCTTCTTATAACCCCTTCCTTTGGCAGCCTTCACCTTCCACCAGTTCTCCCAGTGGTTAAAGACAGTGACGATGCCCACCATGTGGCTGGGTGTGGCCTCCCTCACCTGGGAGCTGCTGGCTGCCCTCTGGAGGTACATGGCCCAAGAAGGGGGAGGGAAAGGGGTATGCAGGGTGGACCTGACCACACTTGGGTCCCTGCCCCAGGTGGACCCAAGTGCGGGGGTGGCTGCAGAAGCTCAGTGCTACAGTCCAGTTGTCCATCTTTGGCACTGCCACGGTGTCCTTGTTCGTGATCAGCCTGGTGGGTAGTGCTGCGGGTGGCAGGGTTGGGAGGGGCCGCAGTGGCAGCACTGAGCCTCTGCCCACCTGCCTCCAGGTGCCATACTCCTACATGGAGCCAGAGACCCATGGGCGCCTCTGGCCTAGGGCCCACCGCCTGTTTAGTGCCGTGGAACACCTGCAGCTGGCCAACTCATACGGCCTCTTCCGTCGGATGACCGGTCTGGGTGGGCGGCCTGAAGTGGTGCTGGAAGGCAGCTATGATGGGCAGCACTGGACAGTAAGCCTTCTGACTGGGTGGGGGCAAGAAGCGACCGAGTCAGGCTTGCCCAGCTGACCACTGCTCTATGTGGCAGGAGATTGAGTTCATGTACAAGCCTGGGAATGTGAGTCGGGCACCCCCAGTTGTGGTGCCACACCAGCCCCGCCTCGACTGGCAGATGTGGTTTGCAGCCCTGGGCCCTCACACACATAGCCCTTGGTTCACCAGCCTGGTCTTGCGCCTGCTGCAGGGCAAAGAGCCAGGTGAGACCTGGGGTATGGAGTAGGGGGGAGCAGGAATGGAGGTCAGGGTGGGGCTATACTGAACCTCTCCCCTGCCACAGTGATCCGCCTCCTCCAGAGCCACCTGGCCAGCTACCCTTTCCATGAGCAGCCACCCACCTACATTCGGGCCCAGCGCTACAAGTACTGGTTCTCCCAGCCTGGGGAGCAGGGGTAAGGCTGGGGCACTGGGCAGGGTGCTAGGAACTGGACTCTAGCCACACACTTAATATCCAATCCTGTTGCAGCCGGTGGTGGCGGCGACAGTGGGTGGAGGAATTTTTCCCACCTGTATCACTGGGGGACCCGACGCTGGAGACGCTGCTCAAGCAGTTTGGGCTACAGGTTAGGGGGTGCCGGTCAGGGTGGAGAAATGACAGGGATGATCTCTACCATAGGGGTGACCCTATGGGCCTTCTTCAACATTGCCCCCACAGGACAAAAGCCCACCCCAGGTCCGCAGCTCCAGAAGCACCTTGGCTCAGGTCCTCCTCTGGGTGAGGACTCAGCTCTCACCCCTGGAGGCTCCCACCCTGCTCTGGGGGCTCCTTGTGGCTGTGGGGACTGTCCGAAGTGTGCAAGCCCTGCTGACTCCCTGGTCTCTCCAGTCCTCCCCACCAACTAGGGGTGAGAAGCATAGGCTAGCCCCCAAGAAGGACTTGAGGGCTGCCTGTGAACAGGCAACCCCAGCCCCCAACAGCTGCAACAGCGGTTCCCGGACCCCCCGGCGGAAAAAATAGCTGTGTTTTGTCAGCCACGTGTCCCCAGGGAGTTAGGGTGGGTCCCCAGCACAGCCCTGGTCTCCTGTGACAGGACAGGCTCAGCCACTGTGCCTTAGCCAATTCTGCCAGGCTAGATGGAGGTTGGGATGCTGCCCATGGAAGATTATTAGGTGCTGCTTTGAGGGCCCATTTGTCCCCCCATACCAGGACCCCCATCACTGCCTCCACAAATGGCCCTAAAGGTGAACATGTGACCCAGCTCAGGACCTACCCCAGGCTCTTATACTGGGCCATCAACTTTGAGTCTGGAGCCCCAGCCCCTACACTGGAAGAGGCAAGGCTGACCCATTGAAGAGGGAGAAAGGCAGTCACCTCCCACATCCTCTCCATACCAGCCCATCCTGCCCTTCACACACGTGTACCAATAAAGGCATCTTCCATGCTTGGCTGTGAGCCTGGTGTTTCCTTCCTGCCAGGAGGCCTGAGGCAGGGACAGGGCTGGGGTCCCCTCACCCCAGGCAGTGACAGCCTGAGTACTGGTGGGCTCATTGTTGACTTGACTCAGTGGGTCTTCTCCATTTCTCTTTCTCAGTGTCCTCCCCTGTAAAATAGGATAGATGGGCCTGGCCACAAAGGAGCCTCTGGCCAGGCACAGCCTGGGGGACCTGTCAGTTCCACACATTGGTGCTGGGTTCCACATGCTTTTGTATGCGTCGGGTCCCCAAGGATACAACTGTTGGAAGGCCAGAGACCTCACCAGAACCTGGTCTTTTCCTTTCCTCCTACTCCCACTTTCTGGTCTCGGGAAAAAACAGAAGGCCAGAATGGGCAGGGGCAGAGGAGGGACAAGGATGTGGACTGGTCAACGGGGGCACCTCTGCAGAGTAGGGTAGAGAGGAAGGAAAGCTGGAGGCCATAGGCCCCTGCAGAAGAGAGAAAGTGACAACCTCTGGCCTCCATCCTGGGAAGAGGACACCAAACTGGTTGGGGCACCATACAGGTTTCCGTTTAGAGTCAGATTACCAATCGGAGGTCACTGCTCTCCCTGGGTTAGTACAGTACAGCTTTTTAAGCCCTGATTCTGTCCTTAGCACATAGCCACCACCCTGTGCTCTGCCCCACAGACCCCTGGACAGTCCACAACATGTCCAGTTCTCATCCCACTCCAGGTCCCTAGACCTTCTGTGAGCTCTGTGTTCAAGCAGTCTGTGGCATGAGCTCACAGATGCTTCAAGAGGGCTCTTACACACGGAGAAAATGGCCCAGAAGGCAGGCTTAGATTCAAACGTTAGTCACATGTTTAAAATTCAAAACCTGTCTCTAGGCCAGGCATCTTCAAACTACAGCCCGCAGGCCACATGTGGCCTGCCAAGGACATTTATCCGGCCTGCTGGATATTTTTGCCGCGGTTGCTTGTCCTGCTTAGCACCTGACTCGTCCTGGGGTCCACAGTCTGGCCCTCCAATGGTCTGAGGGACAGTGAACTGGCCCCCTGTTTAAAATTTTTGAGGACCCCTGCTCTAGGCTTTTAAGCTCACTTTATGAGTCTCTGGGGTTTGGTTTGGTTTTCTGTAACAGCTTCCTTTTTTTTGAACAGTATCTTACCATGTCGCCCTCCATAGATGCTGTGGCGTCACAGCTCTAAGCAACCTCAAACTCTTGGGCTTCAACGATTCTCTTGCCTCAGCCTCCCAAGTAGCTGGGACTACAAGTACCTACCCATCACAACACCTGGCTATTTTTTGTTGTTGTTACAGTTGTCATTGTTGTTTTGGCAGGCCCTTGCCAAGTTCAAACCCACCAGCCCCCATGTATATGGCTGGTACCCTAGCCACTGAGCTACAGGCGCTGAGCCTGTAACAGCTTCCTTTTTATAAAATTTTTTATAATTATTTTAGGTTAATTTGAGGGTACAAAGAATTAAGTTATAATGTTTGCATTTATTAGGTAGAGTCTTTCCTATAATTGTGTCCCATCCCCAAGAGGTGTGCTATGCACCCTTATAACAGCTTTCTTGGTAATTTACATGCCATATAGGTCACCCATTTAAAGTGCACAATTCAGTGGCTTTCAGTATATTTGTAGAGTTGTACACCTGTCACTAGAGGTGATTTTTTTTTAAAAAGGGTAGAATCGATATTTTATTATCACTGTAATCAGATGGTGGTTGGTATATAGGCTTCATACTTCTTAATTTTTTGTCAATAAAAAAAATTTTTAAATAGCCAAGGGCTCATTACATTTTCAGAAAACATGATTAGACTAATTCATTAATGGTGGCTTCAAGCTTTTCCTTATTAGCTCCAGAAAACTCACCCACCTTTTGTCCCTTTTTAAAAAACTGGAAAGTCGGCATGCATTTGACCTCACACTCTGAAGCAACATCCTGACAGTCATCCACGTCTACTTCAAGGAACACCACGTTGGAATACTTTTCAAAGAGGGAATGATAGAAAGGCTTGATCATTTTGCAAAGCCCACACCACGTGGCCGAGAAGTCAACTACTACAAGTTTAACTCCAGAAGCATCCAAGGCTTCCTTAAAAGCACACTTGCTCTCGATCTGCTTCACCATCTTGGCTGCCGGAGCTCTCACGAACGACCATAAGAAGCGATGCGAGCGGATCCAAGGAGCCGGAACAAGCTTCACTAGAGGTGATTTTAAAAACTTTTCATCTCGGCTCGGCGCCTATGGCTCAACCGGCTAGGGCGCCAGCCACGTACACCTAAGCTGTCGGGTTCGAATCCCCAGCCCGGACCCGCCAAACAACGATGATGGCTGCAACCAAAAAATAGCCGGGCGTTGTGGCGGGCGC